TAGGAGCTTGCACACACAAAGGCGAAAGGTAAGTAAAAATTCATTTCCAACTACGATGCAAGAACCTAGTAGTTACGATATGGTAATATTGAAATATTTACATAACTTTGATAAGAGGCTTATAGCATATTATATGACGGTTATGATCGTTGAGTATAAGGTTGCGGAACCTATTGACATCGATTTTCATTAAATATGTCATTCATGAGCATTTTCATATATATACACGACATGTGATCGTGTTTGAAAATTTTGCATGTGAAACATGATTTCAAAGTGAGTTTTCTTTAAAAATATTTTATTGACCACTACTAGGGCACCAAGGCATATTAGGCATATTATGTGATATGTTTGACATCGCAGTTGATACTTCCCGGGTGATTGCAAAAGTAGACAGAGGGGATGGGCCTTTGGTGATCACGGGAGGATGGACAACTCGACCGTGTCCTTGTGATATTATGATTATTAGTGCTACCGGGTGGGAAACTTCTTGGGTGATCATAGGGGCAGTTAGGTAATGAGCCTCTAAAGGACACGAGAGGATGGTCCACTCGTCGGTGTCGATTTCATATTGGCCATTTGATTATTGATATCGATATTATAAAGAGCTCTATCTGGTGCATAGTAGGTGGGTTAAGGGCTCAATGAAATGAAAGGTTTCAAATGAAATGATTTTGAGTCGACTTTGATGAATATTGGAATATGATGCTTCTTTATCGATGTTTAAAGTAAATAGCATAGTGGCATATATCATTATTATTCATATTCATGACATGCATGATTTTTGCTTACTAAACATTGACTTATGTAGTTCTTGCATTATAGATAAGCCTGAAACTATACAGAGAGCACGGCTAGCTGTGGAGTTCTTACGGGATTCCAGAGTTCGATGTACATGGATGATGACCTGTAGGGTTATTTTGTGGGTAGCTATTTTGCTCTTATGGCCTATTTTGTTGTATGTTGGGGATCCTATTTGTATATCTTTTGATATGGCATGTTGACATGTTATAACCTCATAATATATATGTTAGATTATGGTGATATGATTTTGGTTTAGAGACATAGCTTATGTTGTTTTATCAGGTGAAAAAAATGTGTGAAATTTCATGCCTAGGTCGAGTCATCAATTTCATTCCCACACAGGTTAATGGATAGTTATATTTATTAAAGGGGGTGTGACAAAGAGTGGTATTAGAGCAAAGTTATATTTCTGTAAACTGTCCATGTACATGATCGTGGAGTATGGAAGAGCACAGCTAAGCTAGTAAGTTTTATTTTGTTGCATTATTTTTACATATTTCATGAATGATATTGGTCAATCTTTACTTGCAGCCATGGTGAGAACCAGGGATGCTAGTAGTAGTAGAGCTAGAACTCCAGGGCAAGAGGCGTCTGTTCAAGATGACAATCGGGATGTTGTTATTGATAGACTTATAGAATTAGTTGAGCGACAATCTCAATAAATTCAGCAATCAATACAATAAAGAGAAAGGAGAGAACATTAAAAGGCTGAATTCTTACAACCACAACAAAGGGCTGAACATATTAAGACAGTTGGAAAAGATTTAGAAAATTAAACCCTCCAATATTTGAGGATGCATTAGATCCAACAGCAGAATTGGTTGAGAACTTTGGAGAATATGTTCAGGTATTCTAGAGTTTCATAGGTAGAAAAAGTGGTTTGCGCATCCTTTATACTACAACGTAGTGCTGGACATTGGTGGGATACGATGAGTAACATTGAAGATGTTAGTGCTATGACTTGGGAGAGATTTAAAGAGTTATTCCATAATAAATATTTTACAGCCTCAGTTCAAACCATGAAGATGAATGAATTTATACAGCTAAGACAAGGAGGGATGACAATGGGAGAGTGTATTTTTAAGTTTGAACAACTATCCAGGTTTGCTACCCACATGATTAATACTGATACACTAAAGGCAGAAAGATTTCTTGAGGGACTAAGACCAGAACTATATAGAGACGTAAGTATGGCAAGAATCCAAGATGTGTCATATTCTCAAATTGTAGAGAGGGCTTTAGTTGTAGAATAAGCCGAACAAAGAATTAGTTGTGCTCAATAGGCTCGACGACAGTTTAGGCAAGGTCAAGGACAGCATTGGCCTAGAAATGATAAGAAAAGAGCTTTCCAAGGACAGAGTTAGAAACCTAAGTTTCAGCCGAAACAAGGACAACAACATTGGGATCACGGCAAACATCCAAGGATAGATCAAGGAAAAGCCTCAACAGCACAACCATCTTGCCCCAGATGTGGTGGACAGCATGCTGGAGCATGTTCTACAGAGACTAGGACATGTTAAGTTTGTGGAAAGGTGGGAGATCTTGCTAGAGCATGCCCAGGTAAATCAAATCCTACAGAGCAGAAAAAGGTATCGGCCAAGGTATTTGCTATCATAAGATTAGATGCCGAGGCAAATCCATCAGTTATAACAGGTAAATTCTCTATTTTTGGTATCCCATCACTTGTACTATTTGATTTTGGAGCTATGCATTCATTTGTTTCCACTGAGTATGTAAGGAGGTTAGGTAGGACACCTAATATTCAAGAGGTTAGTTATAGTGCAACTATTCCATCTGGAGATGTGCAACAAACCAATCTGATTGTAAGAACATGTGTGATCCTTATAGAAAATCGAGAGCTCTATGCAGATTTAATTGTGTTAGATATGAAGGATTATGATATAATTTTGGGTATGGATTGACTGTCAAAATATCAAGCTACTATAGATTGTAAGAGGAAGTTAGTGACCTTTCAACCTTTGGAGAATGAGCCATTTACATTCATTGGGATCGAAAAAGGTTTTAGAGTTCCAACCATATCGTATTGAAAGCACAAAGGTTACTAGATAGTGGGTGTGTAGGATATTTGGTGAGTGTTATGGCTATTGAAGTAGAATACAATCCGAATCTTAGTGATGTACCCGTGGCACAAGAATTTCTAGAGGTATTTCTTGATGATTTACTTGGGGTACCACCAGATCGCGAGATAGAGTTTGTAATTGATTTAATTCCAGGAACATCTCCAATTACCAAGGCTCCATATAGATTGGCCCCAACTGAATTGAAAGAGTTGAAATTATAATTACAAGAGTTGTTAGATAAAGGTTTTATCAGACCTAGCTTTTCACCATGGGGTGCACCAGTATTATTTGTTCATAAAAATGATGGTACAATGAGACTGTGTATCGATTATCAAGAGTTGAATAAGGTGACAATTAAAAATAAATACCCCTTGCCAAGGATTGATGCTTTGTTTGATCAACTTCAGGGTGCATCTGTATTCTCAAAGATTGATTTGCGATTTGGATACCATCAACTTAAAATAAAGGAAGATGACATTTCTAAGATAGCATTTAGTACAAGATATGGTCATTATGAGTTTTTGATAAGCCATTTAGGTTAACAAATGCCCCTGCAGCTTTTATGGATCTGATGAATAGGGCATTTGGAGACTTTCTCGATAAGTTCGTAATTGTATTTATTGATGATATTCTTATTTATTCTCGTACTAAAGAAGAACATGCTAAACACTTAAGAATAGTTCTGCAAGTCTTAAAGGACAAGCAATTATATGCTAAGTTTAAGAAATGTGAATTTTGGTTAGATAGAGTTATATTTTTGGGACATGTAGTATCAGGTGAGGGCATATCAGTGGATCCAAGTAAAGTAGAGGCTATTAATAATTGGTCACGACCTACAAACCTTTTAGAGGTCAGAAGTTTTATGGGTTTAGCCGGATATTATCACAGATTTGTGAAAGGATTTTCAAAAATAGCTTCTTCTTTAACGAAATTAACAACGAAGAGTACTAAGTTTGAATGGACAAATGCTTGTGAGCTAATTTTTCAGGAATTGAAGAAAAGACTGACTTCAGCCCCTATCCTTTTAATCCCATTTGGTACTGAAAATTTTGTAGTTTATAGTGATGCTTCAAAGAATGGTTTGGATGTGTATTGACGCAAAACGGTAAAGTCATTGCATATGCTTCTAGACAACTTAAAAAATACGAAAAGAATTATCCTACACATGACTTGGAACTCACCGCAGTTGTATTTACACTTAAGATATGAATGCATTATTTGTATGGAGAGCGGTGTGAGATTTATACAGATTACAAAAGTTTGAAATATCTATTTACACAAAAGGAATTGAACATAAGACAAAGAAGATGGCTAGAATTGGTAAAAGATTATGATTGTGTTATAAGCTATCATCCCGGTAAGGCTAATGTTGTAGCTGATGCATTGAGTAGGAAGTCGACATCCAGTGTTGCGAATATGATTGTAACTAAAAAATCAGAATTGATAGATTTATAGAAAATGGGTATTGAAGTTGTGTCACAAGGATTTGTAGAGGCTAAACTTGCAGTGTTGACACCTCAGCCAACTTCAGTGAATATAATTTAGCAATGGCAATAGGAAGATGATTATTGTTCCAAGATAAAAAATGATATACATGATGGAAAGGCTTCAGATTTTCATATATCAGCAGATGGTATCTTGCTGTTTAGAGGACAATTATATGTACCTGATGTAGAAATTATCTAAGGGGACATTTTATCTGAAGCTCACACGACAACATATTATGTTCATCCAGGAGCTGCTAAAATGTATAGAGATTTGAAGTTGCATTATTGTTGGCCGAACATGAAAGGTGAGATAGCCGAATATGTGGGACAATGTTTAACCTTTCAACAGATAAAAGTAAAACATGAAAGACCAGTAGGAGCCTTACAACCATTACATATCCTAGAATGGATGGGAAAGAATCACAATGGACTTCGTGGTGAAATTACCAAAAACAACTAAGAGATATGATAGTAATTGGGTTATTGTGGATAGGTTAACAAAATCAGCCCATTTCATTCAAGTTTGTTCCACTTACTCCATGGACCGATATGCTCAGCTTTATGTACAAGAAATAGTCAGACTTCATGGAGT